GCGAGTAAGTGTCATGGTCAGGCCTTTGCCAAATGGACCACGTCTCTTATAAAAACTACTGTCAATCCACAAGCTCCCGTCGCCGATGCGTCTATCCTGTTTCTATCTCTACTACCAAGGCTATGACTTCTCATACTGTAGTCTCTTGTGTACCCTTTTTTCTTTTAAATCTCAAAAATCACACTCATCTCGACTCTCAAGTTGACATTTCAATCTAACTCTAGGGTACTAGGACGATGTTCGTGTGTGCTGTGTTGGCTAATATTCCCCGTGGTCAAGCATGTCACGAGTCACCTCTATTTCTAGCACATACACAACAAATACACACAAACACCCAGGAACACACACTGGTGACCTATACTTTTAGCCCTTAATTTCATATCCTACTTTTCACAGGTAGATCCCCTCGGGTAAATTTTTGGCCAATTCCTGGTTTGACTAGCATCACTGCAGTAGCATTTTCTTGACTTCCCTTTGTCCCTCATGAGTCGCTCATTGGTGCTTTTTTTCATATTGTTGAACAGTTGTCCTGGCCCCAAGCGTCTTCTTGTTGATGTCTTCGCTGTATCTCCGAGTCTGCCCAGGCAGTACGCGAAATTATCGCTAACTCTTACCTCTTCCAATCTCCTGTTCATCAGGTTTATTTGGAAGAGAATGTTCACAGCATCCATTAGCTTCCGTTTCCTGATATTTTGCCCATATGAAGCCAGTCTTTCCGTTGCATCCAGTCAATTGCGTGGCCAGTAAGGTCGATGTGTTCAGCAATCTCCGATCTTTCCGTATCCATTTTTCTGCAGTCGCTGATGTTCTTTGATCTTTGTTCTGATTGACTTCCCGTCTCCTATGTATTTTTGTTTACAGTACTTGCAGTTTCTGCTGTAAACTCCGGAGCACTCCATTTTGTTGACTTCTTCATGTTGTGTGGGCAAGCTGGTGAAGAGGGTTTTCCTTTCCTTTAATATTGTACAAATTTTCCTTTTCCCTAATATCGACACAGCTTCAGGGCCGATTCATAGGAGGGTAGGCATGTCCATCGTTTTTCTTTTGTTCCTCTTTCTTTCCTTTCATATTCTCCTTCCTTCCATCTGATCATCATAATCCGTATGTTGCGTTGTGTTGCTTACTCTGGATATCCGTTTTAAAGTCATTTCTGAGTTAGTTTTTCCAGTTCCTCTATGCAAAACCCTGAATCACTAATTCTTTGGCTTCTTATGACCATAGTCCGGACTATTCCAATCTTCATTCCATAAGTATTGCTAGATTGAAAGTAAGAGTAATTCGAGTATGCGATTTTTTCGGAAAAGCTCTTTCTTGAGAATTTCCTCGGAGCAAATGGCCTCCATATCCAGGAAAGGTAAGTCTCTATTCTCTTCCATATCATTAGTAAATTTGACTTATTCAGCCATGTCGTTTAAGAATATCAGGAAATCGTCCAATTTTTTACACGCGATCAGAGTGCTAAGAAGTCCTCCAAATATCGCACACTTACTGTTGGCTCATAAGAGGACATTTTGAAATTCTCCTCCAACTTGACACTAGCCAACAGAAATGAGAATGGTGAACCAATAGTCAGGCTAAATATTTGCTCATAAATTCGGCCGTTGAACGTGAAATTGGTCGTTCTTATTGTTAGGTTGATTAATCGATATAGAGACTCTTCACAGATTTGCTCAATCTCCAGGATGTCATTCTCTTTTTCCAAGATCTTTTGTAGTGCGGTGAGCGCTTTTTTTCCCATGATGTCAGTGTACATGGAATGTAGATCAAAGCCCCCCCATCAGTTGGTTTCCTTCCAAACTCGTGCAGTTGATTCTTCGGCAACATTCATATAAGTTCTTCATTGTATTCGACACACTCTTAGGTGCAATTGGAGGAAACAAGAGTACAGAATTGTGTGAATAAGTGGATGAGCCACATGAAGTGGGACGGAGAACAAGAGATACAGCACTACCAGGTACTAAAAAAAATATGGGAGAGGAATGATGCTCTAACGGTTGAATAGAAAATTGACCAACAGGATTGTCTTATCTTGCCACTTTGATAAGTTGTAACTCTATGCTTACGATGGCGCCCCTCACTGACGATGTTGGTGCAACGTTTGGAAATGTACCAAATCAATTGTCCAATGCTGGAAATCACGAAAACTATGGCAGAGGATACGGGACTAGGTACGTTCTACAACCCATTTGCGAAAGCAAGATCAGACTAAAACTATAAAGACAAGGGTGACTACGGCCAAACAGAAGGCCACACCATCTTACTCTTCATATCTGCAATTGCTGATAATCTTTGATTCTTTTGCTGATTAAAAATTAAAAGGCCTCGATAGATATAGATTGGTTAGGCTAATTATCTTTCGTTATGGTCCTGCCAATTTTGTTCGAGTGTTTGCGTATGTGTGTTTATGTGCGTTAACGTCAATATGCAATACTGGTCCTAAATCAGAGCGATCAAAAAAGACTAATGTCAAGCTCCGGTCATCAAGGCTTAATGACCTAAGAAAAAGCCCTGAAACCTTATAGAATTAAATCGTAGATATGAAGAGCAAGATCATGTGGCCTTCTGTTTAGTCGCAGTCACCTTTAGCTTTATAGTCGAACCAACATTTAATATAATTATATTTTTGAATTATTTATATTTCTTAAAATGTTGTTCCCATGTGTTCTTTACGCGGTAGACGTTTAATTCTACCGACGTCCACTAATAGGGAACTTGTTCAGATACCGTGTAGTTTGGTTACAACAAGGCCAAAAAAAAGCATTAAAAAACTACACCAAGACCAGGCTTAGGCAATCCCTTTCTCAAGTACTGAGTGACGTGAATTTCCTTAAGTTACAGGATATGGTTGATTAGTTAGGAGAACCAATCGATAGAATTACCCGGCGGATACATGATAAAAGGCTCCGGAACATATGAGTTAGAATAAGATCGAGAAATTCTCCGCTCAAGGTCGGTCGTAGTAACCATGTATGTAGCTAACTTGAGAAGGATAATGTAATCAATCTATCCAAT